CGTCCAGTTGGTCTGCCCTCTTGAACTGGCATTGGATGATGGGACAAATTCTGTTCTTCCTTGCTGGCCCTGCCTGTTCAATAGTGTCTCCTCCAAAATCAGAGGTGCTCTTTTCATCAACCATTTGGCTTATCTTGAAGCTCACTGGCCTTTATATTTCAGCTAAGAATTCCAACTCCACTGCCTCTTCCAGTTCAGATTCAGAATTTGAGCTAACCTCCTTGAAATGCTATATGTGGGAGAATTGGCCCCAGTACATGGTTGAGCCAAAATCACATTCTGTTTGGGAATTTCTTGAGTTTGGCCTATACAAATATAAATATCAAGAGTTTAATTTTTATGATTTAAAAATTATAAATGCCTTTGATATTGCCACTAAACTAGTACTTATTTTATCCTAGATGGATCTTCAACAAATACTTTTTCAGTTATATTTCCTGCCATCTGTATTTCTTCACTATTTGTTTGTCACCTCGCTCTAATGATTCCTAAATGTTGTAATATATTTCACCAGAAAGGAGAGGAAATGGGGAAAAAACCCTGTTCATGTTACAAGGACCATATAGGACTGAAAATCCAGATTTGTCTGCATCCCACACACACAGAATAATATTTTGTATTTATTAGTGTAATTGTTAGGCCAAACACACACACAAATGAGCAGCAGAATGATGATTTCACACAATGTACCACAAGCTGTCACGATCCTGTACAGAGATGAAGCAAATGCTTTCACTGACTCACTCTCTCAACTTGAGTCACCCAGCTCATATGCATAAGGATACATTTATTAATCTCCATGTTGCTACCTCAAAAACTCAAAAATTCCATGTTGCTCCCACATCAACATAATGACCTACATCCCTACCTATCCCTTGGGAGACAAGGCTTTGTTTCTAGAATGGAGAGATTAGTGGTCAAACTAAAGTTTCTTTTCATGGAGACATGTATGGTAGAATTTTGGGGTGTTTTCCCTTATCTTTATGTAAGCATGCACATATCAGTTTGGGACCTTGGTACTCCAAGAAAGGGGTGTTAATTCTTTCTTCTGTCCACTCAGTTTCTACATAATTCCTCCTGCTCCCATGGGAGGGAGAGGAGAGGAGAGGAGAGGAGAGGAGAGGAGAGGAGAGGAGAGGAGAGGAGAGAGAAGAGAAAGGAATGGCTCAATTCTCTCTCTCTCATTCACACATGCCCTGTGGAGGGGTGGGAGAAAAAATTATGCCCATTCAAAAGAGTGCTGTGGAAGCTTTTACTACCCCTCCGATGGCATGGCATGCTACTGGTCTGAACTGGGGCTGCATAGCATTACAGATATATAAAGATTGCACATAGCACATAGCCGCACATATGTGTGTTCAGACATTTTGTTCAGTCCTAAAGGTGTGATCCTATAGGGCTGACACCTGATAGGCAGAAGGCTTCAACCATGGAGTGCTCCATCTATCCTGCTGGCAAGAGCTGAGCAGGGTAGCAGGAGAGGCAGATGCAGAGACTTTCACAGCTGTTCCATCCACCGTGCTTCCATTTTGAGCTTAGATGGGCCTCTAGCTTGCCTACCTGCCAATGGAGGGCTCAGGAACTGAGAGGCTTGTGGATCCAGTGGATTCATGTCCATTCTATTCCCTGTCCACAATCCCCCCTCCCCCACAAACATGCACTTCCTTTCCTCCTGAATGTATTCTTCCTGAGGGATCTTGTTGTGAAGTTCCCATGGAAGCTGGTGGAGATAGAGAACCTGGAGAAGCATTCACCCCACTCCAAGGTGGTACCTCTGTCTATGCTCTCAGATGATAAATCCCCAGTAGCCCATCCCCCCTCCTATACCCCAAAAATGTCCCATGGCCAGATTAGAACAGATTAGAATGAAGTGGAAAAGCATATGTTTTGCCCTCAGAAGGTTCCAGGTTCATTTTCCAAAATGAGGTAGCATGTGTCATCATAGACCTGCTCTTGAGATGCCACAAAAACATTGCTACTCAGAGTAGAAACTATGCAGTGACATGGATAGTCTGAGCTGGTATGTGGCAGCTTTCTGTGTCCCCAATTCCTCCCAGAGCCACATATAAATGGAGTCAAGTTCTTCCCCCACAGCTGAAAATGACTGGAGCAGAGAGGCTTAAAATGCAGTGATCTATGGCATACACACCACCATGTATGCACAGCTGAAATTTGGCTCATGACTTTCTGCCATGGACACTAGAAACACAATGCTATCAGGTGCATTTGGTCCAGAAAAGGGTTTAGCTCTTCTGCCTGAAAGGCATTATTTATAGCCACTTGCTACATAAATGCCAGGACAAGAAAATAAACCTTTCTCAAATAAAAGCAGCTCTGCTATACAGGCTTCAAGATACCTCAAACTCAACCATAAAGTGATTTTATAGAACCTGAAGGGGAAAGTACAACATGCTCACTTACTCTGCTAACATATCAAAGGTTATGTTACTCTGCTAACATATCAAAGGTTTAGAATACAATTCCTGCCTGCGCTCATTTCATTTTCCTAAAGATCTGAATCAAAAGCATTTTCAGCATGCTGAAGGCAAACAAGAGGCAACATCTTATGAAAGGGAGAAAGGCAATAGTCCACTGAAACAGCTTTGTGTCATCTAATTGGCTCCTTCTACTTAGAATAACCAAACCAACAGAGTTTATTTAGCTCAGGGTGTTGAAACTCAGGCCTGTGGGACAATTCCAGCCTGCCTGGGTCTCAGTCTCCAGATAGTCTTCTTTAGTTCTGCATGTTAAATTCTTTAGTTCAGCATGTTGCCCTGTGCATTAACAGGAGCAAAGAGCAGCCAGCCACTTTCTAGTATGAATCTGCCTTCCCTGATGCAAGTTTGCACAGGGCAACATGGGAGCGGGCCTTTGTGGCAGTGACCTCTTCATTATGGAATGTTCTCCTCAGTGTTGGGTGTGCAGTGTCATGAGGCACAGTCCTTCTGAGTAAACACACTGCTTCAGAGTCCCTTTTCACAGTGCTTTATTGTTACGTAACTTTTTTGTCAAACATTTCGAATTCACCCAGAGTACAGTGTTGGACCCTCTCTGAGCCCTCCCCTTAATCTTCATCCCATTTAAAAGACTTTATCCATTGCCAGCTCAGAGGTGGGGCATTGCCATTCCTTGCCTGTCTGCCTTGCCTGCGGCTCCAACAACTGAATCTCCTGCCAATGTTGCCTCCTAGCAAACAGCCACTTCTCCTCGGGGGAGGGGCCTCTACATAGACTCATAGAAGCATACAATCAGAGAATAGTAGAGTTGGAAGGGGCCATGAAGGCTATCAAGTCCAACCCTGCTGTTGCACCATCCCACTCAGATGGCTGTCCAGTTTCTTTTTGAATGTCTCTAGTGGGAGAGCCCACCACCTCTCTAGGCTGTTGTAGAATTGCTCTGACAGTCAGGAAGTTTTTCCTGATATCTAGCCTGAATCTAAGTTGTCACAACTTGAATTGATTATTCCGTGTCCTACACTCTGCCATCAGCAAGAAGAGATCTTGACCTTCCTCTTTGTGACAGCCTTTGAGGTACTCTTGAAGGGATATCATGTCCCCCCTCAGTCTTCTCAAGGCTGAACATGCCCAGTTCCCTCAGTCTCTTCTTATAGGGCAGAGTTTCCAAACCCTAGATTATTCTTGTTGTCCTCTGCTGGACCCTTTCTAATTTACCTGCATCTTTCTTCAATCTTGGTGGCCAGAACTGGACACAGTATTCCAGATGAGGTCTGACCAGTGAGGATTATAGAGGAACTACATCTACATCTGACAAACTGTTTAGTTCTTGGTGCACACTCTGAGCAGACCCTGAACTCACCTCCCACTCTCCCATGGGTAAATCAGAGTTCTTGTCATCTTCTGTCCCCAGCTCTGCTCCTTGCTGGGCTATCTCTACAATCCCACAGGATGGTTGGTCTCCACCCTCACCCAACTGGGGTAATGGTGTTTGAACTACAGGCATTTCCTGGCCTTGATCTGATACTATCATTTACTGACATTCCAAAACTGCTTCATCTTCACTGTTTGAATCCCATTCCTATCAAATCTATCAACAGACTGAGGCTCTTCTGGTGGCTTGTCCCTGTGTGTGCACAACTAGTGCCAATCTTGTTGTCCTTTTGGAAACAGGTTAATAATTTCCTCTATTTCTAGCCTTTTGATGGGGTTTTACAATTTAAAGTTAATTGATTTACTGGGTCCTGGTATTTTATTGACAATTGTGTTAGCTGTTTAAAATATTTGTAAGTTAAAGATTTTATGTTATTTTTATATTAGATTTGAGGGCTTTAATTTCTGTAAACCACCCAGCTTTCATTATTAGGCCAACATGGTTGGTGATGGTGATAATGAGCATAATTTGCATGTGCACACATGTGCACAGATATGTGCATCTGTAGCAAGTGGGCAGTGGCAATTGAATTCCTAAGCAGATGTTGACCATGGCTGGGGTAGTAGGGCGGACTTAGGAAAGATGAAACTAAACTACAGTTCTTGGGGTTAATACAGTCATCTGTGCAAAGAGCAGCATTAACATGCGTACACTAACATCATGAGCTAGAAGAAACATCTTAGAAAATAGATGAGCTTTCCCCATATGCTCACTGGAACAGCCTGAAACTATTTCAATTAAATAAACTTTCAAAGAGCAATCCATTTCCACAGTAAGCTAAGGAGAGTTCATCCATCATTGTTATAATCCAAGGAGGTACCAAAATCCCCAAACTGATATGAATTGATTTGCTTCTAATGTATTCATCTATGTTTCGGTGCATCTGCAGAAGTGAATACTGTTTCATAAACACTGAAATCTGTGAAAAATTTGCATAGAAAGGTAAATGTTGCCTACTGCCTTTCGGCTTTTAGACTACGGTATGTTTAATTCATATTAGGGAGCAATCTGGTTATTTGCTACTAATTTGCTAACTTGTGACACAAGTTTTGATTTTAGGAAAGAGGTGAAGTATCATTATCATCATTATCATTATCATTTTAAACACTTACTCTCTGCAGGCTCTTTAGATCTTCTTCCACTGGAGGATTTCCTCAGTAAACTTCGTCCAGAGGTAAAAAGGCTGGTTAATTCCTCTAGAGGACTTGTAGGTGTTCTTGAACGTGAACTACTCTGTGATGATGACCCGTAGGTATTGACAGAGGCATTTACCATTTTTCCTCCTTCTTGCAATATGTTTCTGGCTGTAGAATGAGGCACTGATGGAGAACTTCTTGAGAGACTTCCTGAATGTACTGAATCATAAGGAGGAGGTCTTTTGAGACTTAAGGGGGTAAGTGACCGACCCATACTAACAGGAGAGGGAGAGGCAGAGTGGCTTTTAGGATAGCCATGGGGAGACTGTGTTCTGTATAAGGTAGAAGGATGAGGAGGTGAGGAGGAGTGCCCTGGAGTACTAGTTCCATGAGATGCTGTTGGGTCTTTCTCCAGTTTTTGATGACTTGGCGTATGAGGTGGCAGTGAAGACGGAGAAGCTCCAGCTTGCTGTTTGATATAAGACACGTTCTCTAAAACAGGAAGCTTTGCGACTTCCAGTGGTGTTAAAGGAGATTCATCAGAATTTGGGGAGCATTGCACTGGTGCAGGTGGGAATACCAGGAGCGGAGGTCTATGAGAAAGCAAATTTGGAAATGGTGGGGGGATATCACAAAGCACACCCTTGGGAGTGGATGGCACTGAGGACTTGGTGAAATCAAGGTCAGGCACTGTGGGAGTAGCACACTGAGAGGAACAGCTGTGGTGGTCATACTCACATGGACACTTTGAATCTTGACCTCCATCATCAAAGATGGGGTATTTCATTTCCTCATAGACTGCCTCACTTTGGTCCTCATCGTCTTTTTTGAAGTCTCTTAGTATGTTTCCAACCATTTCAATATAAACTGGTTCTTCTTCTTCTGTATCTGGAGCAGGGCTGCTGACCTGTGATAAGGAGGCATCCCTACTAAGGGTTGACCTTGTGGGGCCATGTTTTTTGATGTACGTCTCATCAAAAGATGCACTTAGCTGAGTGTTTGGATTCCGTTTTGGTTTAGGGGGAGGAACCTTCTTCGTGTATTCATCACTGTGAGGCCTTGGTTTGGCTGATACTGTAAAGGAAGCAAAATATGCATTTATGAGACATTAAATGGAAATATTGCCCACCTCAAATACTTGTGGTATGCTTATGTTATACACACAGAAACATACATTCAAGATTTTTTCACACTTAAACTGTACAATTGAATGGATACATTTAATAAAATACTGTTGAGACAATACCACCTGAAGGTCACTAGAAGTTTAGACATGGTGTTATATGAATTTCACTCTCTAACAATTATGTTCACTCATAAGAAAATGTGATAGAAGCTGGATCAGATGAAAGACTTGTATCGTTGACTGTTGTCACAATGGCCCATGGGATACCTAGGAGAAGCCCATCTGTGAGGAGGAATATAATAGTATCCTTGTGCTCATGTTCACCAGCAACGGGTATTGACAAACAAACTGTATCTGATGCTGGAGATAATATAGACCCAACATGACTTTTAGCTGCTGATAGCTTTATGCTCCAGGAATTTTTCCAATTTCTTTTAAAGCTATCCAAGTCGGTAGTCATTGCTACATCCCCTGGTAGCAAAGTTCAGCTAAGTACTGTGAAGAGATACTCCCATTTATCAAAGCCAACACACACATGCACGCCTCATGTAGTCCTCTTCAAAGTAAGCTGAATAATTGGACATATCTACTGTTCAGCATCTTAAGGTTTCAATAAAATTGTAGAAAGCTCTGCTAGAAATCTCTTTCTATAAATTTAAAGCCTAGAAATAATATGCTAGGCTTATTTTTAAATATCTATAAATTATTGTATTGAAATCATTTAGATGAAAAGGTCAAGGATTTCATACAAATTAATACCTGTAGATTAACCAGGAAATTAATTTGTGGAATGTTTTATGATTCCCTTAACTGTAAAAATGCTAATATCAGGGTTCCTCCTTCTTTCGCACACATTAATTGTCATTAGTCCACATAGTTGTGTAAAAACATGCAATATGTGCAGATGTCAATTCCCTGGAACAAGAAAAGCTTGTGCTGAAAGCTCAAGTGGTTTACTGACATTTTCCACAGTTTAAAGCTACCTCCTGCAAGCACAGAGAGGCTCTTTTTAAGGCTATGACTTAAGGGAAGGGCAGGAAGGACTTCCTTTTATAAGCATTTTTTAAAAAGAGGTAGAAAAGTGTCGCTACTACTACATTTCCAACAGGGCATACTGCCTATGTTCTGCTCAGGAAAATGCCAGGCTAGGCTGGGTTTTCTATAAAATGGGAGAATTCCTCAAGTATGCATAATTTTCTAGCTTCTCTTGCCCCAACACACACCTGCAGGGACTGAGCTTTTGCTGGGGCCCACTGGAATTGCTTCTCCATGGGAAAGTGTGAACAAGAGGTGTTTGCATTTGCCCAGATTCTCTGTGCATCAACTTATGAAAATGCTTAGATTTGTATAATGGAAAAAATTGCAGAAAAAAAGAGTATTGTTTAAAGTTGTATTATTTTCACCTTCAGACAAAAGTGTGAAAATGTGCATATTTTAAGTTAGTTTTGAACATCTTCTGGAAAAGAAGTGCAATTTTGGAATGTGAACGTATGCGAAAATTTGCTAAACTTTTTCAAAAACAAGGTCCCCTTCTAAGTCCTCCTCTGATGTGAATGAAGCATGCTCAACTCTTTTGCAAGTATACCAAAATTCTTATGCATCCTGTTCCTCTTTACCATTGCAACCTACCTCTCACCTTGACCCAGACACAATTAATCAGACAGGTCCTAATGTCTCATGTTCAAATGTCTTACCAGAGGTTTCACTTCCCATGGGAAGCCACTCTGGTGGCCACAGAGACACCTGTAGGATGACAGACTTCGATGAACATGTCAACTACACAAAATATTTCTTAAGACAATTCACTGCTTGTAAAATTAGCTGTATGGACTAATGGCATCTGATGCTTCTGCAACAATTTCTATGTGGAGGAACAGTCCAGAGCTGTCAAAATGCATATAAAAGAATATTGCCCTTGTAATAGTCAGAGTAAAAATCCTGAAGACATACTTTTTTCTGAAGGCTCCATTTATACATTTTAAGCAAGGATACAAAGCACCATTGAAATATATAAAGTTGCATATGGAATTTAAAATGTTTTGTGTGCATATAAAAACCAATGAGTTGAATTGCTCACATTTTGTACAGCTGTTGAAGGTGAAATATGCTGGGCTGCTCTGAGGAATAAAACTTTATCTTTTTTACACTCTGGGGCTTCATATGTCCTTTCTTTATGTGATTTTGGAAATTTTCATTTTGTCTGAGCATATGTGAAAGGGGGAGACATGAACCAATCATGTCTCTTCCATGTATGTCTAAAACATGACTCATAAAACACTATGATTTAAACCAAGTTAATCTCTTTCACATGTGACTAAGGCATGCTCCACAGAACACTCTGACATTCACTACAGGTAATCAGCCTCGCAGAACATGCCAATCCTGTGCCAGTCCTGGCCAGATAAATAGGCCAATGATATTCTTTGCTCCCTCTTTCCAATCAGACCAGGGCAAAGGGCTCTCTGCTTAGAAAATAAGTCTAATAAATAGACAAATAAATAAATAGGCTTAATAACGAAAAGCCGAACAGTCAGGATGGCTTTCTAGGGCAAAAGAAGAGTATTGTAGAAGGCAAAAACAACAGAAACAGTGCTAGTTTGAATACCAGTCTTTAGGGAAATGTGCCTTAATAACAAGAAGTTGATTCCGAACTGAATAGACTTCTCCCCTCCAAAAAAATAAAAAAAGTACAAAAGTGTTGTCAAGGTTGATTCTTGTGCTTCGGGACTAATTGCTTGGAGCATCTGACACTTCTCAACTGGTCTGCCCTCCTAACCTCACACCATACTCTCACATTAATTGATGCTAGGTCTGCCCGCTCCACAATAGCTTGCTCACTAAACTTCCCAAGGTATTTGAAACTGCCTGATTCTCAGTGATGGACTGACTTATCTCTAAGTCTACTTGCCTTGGCAGTTCAGCTGTAGATTCTAATCCCTCCTACTCCTCATCTGAGTCAGAATCGATATTTATAATCTTTGAAGTCTCTTTTATAGAAGGAGTAAGCCCAAACACCACGTGGTGGGTTTAACCTAGGAATGGACAGATCTGCTGGCTTTACTTTCTTCCACATTCATTGCTTTTGAAACCCCCTTTTCCTTCCAGGTATGAAAACAGTTGCAATGTTTTACTAAAAGTGAACTGAACTGAAAAGCTCAGCCTCTGCTCTTGCCAACTGGAAACAGCCGTGCTCATGATGGAATGGATCATGTTGGACCTGCCTGCCATATAACTGCTACTGATGAGCCGGCAATCCTAATTATGGACTTGCATGTTTGAACTCATAGAGAAACAGTGCAAGGATTTGAGAAGCTAATGTGTTAAAGTCCTAGACCTGGACAGACAAATCTCTCCATTTTGATTTCTCTCACATTCAGTTTGTTAAAACCTCAAGTTATTTCTGTCCCAGATATGAAGAAATGTGCCAGTTTGGGTACTTTCTTTTAAAAATGAACTGAAGTGAACTTCTCACCCATCCCTACAACTGTGATTTCTTTGGATTTCAGGGACTGAAATTAGAGCCATCAGGGGGTATTTTGCCAGGTGCCTGTAGCATAATATCTCTCAGGTCCATGCTGCTTCCTACTTCACAGTGGACAGCATGGCTCAAGCTTTTAGCCTTGTTTAGCTGTGGAGAGGCCTGCTTCGGGGAGGAGATTGGATGGAGTGACCTTCAGCTCTCTTCCAAGTCTGTACTTTGCAGCCAAAGGGTCCTTCCCCCCCCTCCTTTCCACCAGTAATTCAAGCATTATCTGCATTTTATGCTTTATATTGAGCAGCATAATCAAGGAAAAGAAGATAATATGGTTTGAAATGCACTGTGGCAGCACCTGGCATTTTCTCATCTGGTTTATGATGCCATTTTATAACCTATATGGAAAACAGAATACAATTAGTGGCAGAAAGGTCAGCTGACTTCAGCCCAGTATACAGTTTAGAAGATAAACATCGGCAAGAGGAATTTTAGCCTAGTATCTCTTCCTGTATCTCCCCCCACCCATCCCATTCTGTACATTACAAAGTGATTTTTTTAATGTAGACCAGAAAAAATGTAGACTTACATTTCTCCCCAGAAGTCTGGCTTGTAAATATTTTATAATGTAATTTATTTAAAATACTCTACTATGTTCTTTGCTATTATTTCAGGTCCTGACTGAGCAATCCTTTACCTTTCCAGAATATTAAGAGAACACAGTCATTCAACAGGGAATGCAACATTCTGCTTACATTGATCACAGAAAATAGTTTTAAAAATGACAGAAATGGGCAGCATTTCTACACAGTTATATGTAATTAACTCTGGGCATATATTGTGTGTGTGTGTTTGCATGTGTACATGCACATATAGGATATCTGGCAGTGTCCCACAGCCAACAAGGGATTATTTGGCATTCTCTGTGAGAGAGAAAAAGGCAAAATGCTGCGTTAGTACTCTGACATTTAGCAGACAAGGAAAACATTCTATGCATGCTGTGAAAACAAACTCCCATGAATAGCTCACTCTGGCCAACTTAATGGTATTCACACTTTCCACTGATGTCTTTTTATAGGTATGGAAATCTGTTCAAGAAGTGCCCTGCCAGTCAGACCAAAGTCCATCTGGCCAGGGTAAAAATAAAATCTATATCTGCTTTCTCCATGCCATTCACAATTTTCCCAATTTCTATTATCCCCATGCTGTGCTCAGTGTTTTCCTATTTAAAACAATCAAATCAAATCAATTCAAATCAAATCAAATCAAATCAAGGTTGTTGTGTACGTGCACAAGTACATACACATATATGTTTAAGTGCATTTTTTTCTTTCTGCAACTCTGTGAAAGCAATTCAGAGTTCCAACTGTTTTGTTGCTGAGTCTTTCTGTGTACTTTTTATATATTTCCCGTTCTCAAAATCAGGTTGGGACCTACAATCTAAAATAAAGCTTAGAACTTTGACACAAAACCAAA